GCCCCGCCCGACGCCCCAATCAGGGCCGGCTCCCGCCCTGACGTCACCGCCCCGCGCGGCCGCGCACCGCCCAGCGGCCCAAGTTTTGGGACGGTCCGGCTCCGGCCGCCTGGCTCGTGGGCTTCTGGTATTTACCCGGGCTCTGGCTTTCCTTGGCTTCCGGGGACCTGTGGCCCCTGCCGACTCTTGGAAAGCAAAAGGTTAAACTGGGTGAGGACAGGGTGAGGACAGGGGACCCCCAGGAAGTAGGCTTCCCGCAAAGCCGGGCAGCCGGAGAGTGGAAGACCGGCTCGCTCTGTCCAGCCGGCGTCCCTCGGGACAGCAGCCCCCGCGGGCCGTGCGGGGCTGGGGAGCGCGGCGCGTCGCTTGGAGGACTCCAGGACCTCTCCGGGGCCGAGACAGGTCCCGGCCGCCCCTCAGTCCGGGGCCGGGGTGAGAGGTTCGGAGAAAGGAAGGGGAGCCAAGGCCGAGGGGGACCGCCCGCCCACCTGCACCACCTGCTCGATGCCCACGACTGCTGCCACCGGATCCTAGGGCTTACGAAGCCGTCCAAAACACGGGATCGGGAGCCTCGATCCTCCTCGAGGCCCGAGTCTCGGGACGTCGAACAAGTACGGTGCCGGGCGCTGGGAGGCGAACACGCGCCGCGGCCCCCGGGTCGGAGCTGACAGTTGGGCGCAGCCCTGCGGCTGAACGCGGACTCCTCGCGTCGCTCGGGGCTCCACGGGCTGGGAGGGGCTGCGCCGACCACACCCACCCGCAGGGGCTGCTAGGCGCGGCGCGCCCTCCTAGCCCAGCGCCCCTTCCTGCTCGTGGGAGCACTGAGAACAGAGATAAGTCCTAGCGGCTGATGGCACCACTTGCGGGCCCCTAGGTAAACCCGGCGCTGCCAGATGGCGAAGCTGCCCCCGTTAGGCCCAGCTCAGCCAGCAAGGGCAAGGAGCGCTCCGTGGGGAAGGCAGGCCCTACCCGGGGCGCACCTGTACTCTCCCTTTGCGTGGTTCTTATCTCTCTGGGTTAAAAAACAAGCTCCTTTAGATAATTGTACTAAAGAATTAAGAACACCTCGCCCCACTTTTTGCGTTTGGAAGGCAGGCAGAAGTGGAGTTAGTCAAGGTGAACGAATTGTTAGTCATAACTTGTGAGCCCAACTCACACGAGATCATACGTGATTTTTTGTTTTGCTTTTGTTTTTTGAGACAGGGGCTCGTTGTGTAGTTCAGGCTGGCCCTGAACTCACTACGGAACCCTGGCTGGCCTAGGACTCGGAGAAGCGATCCTCCTTCGTCAGCCAACCCAGTGCGGGTATTAAAGACATGCACCATCATGCCCACCTTTGTACTTTTAATCTCGAGCAAAAGAAGAGCAGGTTGTCGCTGGAAGCACAGAGGCACGTGGGTATGGCCCACTAGGAAGGAAAATTCTGAGTCCGTGGACCTGGAAATGTTATGATTTGCGATCTTAAGACCTTTCTGCTTTTATGCTGATCACACGTTCCTAAAACATTGATGTTTGAGAAACACGTTGGATTGTGTATGTGGTTTTAGTTTTTTGGTTTGGTTTGGTTTGGTTTGGTTTTATGAGACAGTCTCACTATGTAGTTCAGGCTGTGTATCCCAGGTTGGCCTCAAATTCGCTGAGATCCTCCTGCCTTAGTCTCCGGACTGCTGGGATTACAGGCATGTTCCCCCACGGCCAGTTTGTAGGGTTTTTATATGTTCGTTGAAAAGACATCTGGAAGGGTTCACAGGGCCAGTTATCCGCAGCTGACCACAGTTTGGGCATTGGTGTAGAAGGAAGGAGGCTAAACTTCATACCCTTACTGATTTTGGGTTTTCCAAGTTTGAGTTCCTTTCCTAATTTAGAAAGCTAATAAAACATTTCAAGAAAACAAATTAGAAATTAAGAAACCTATCTGAAAGTATAAATTAACGACTTATAAGTCAGTCCAAATATTTAAATATAGGATGACCAAACCTTGCCTAGTTTTTATTAATTTTTATAAGATAATATAACAAGAAGTATAAAAATGACAATTTTAGGGGCTGAGGATTTAGCTCAGCGGCACAGCGCCTGCCTGGCAAGCACAAGGTTGTAAGTTCGATTCCTGGTACCGGAGAAAGAAACAAACAAACAAAAAAAAACAAAAGAATTTTATCAAATTGATTCAGTACAGAAATTAACTGGTTGAAATGACACCTGCTCCAGCGATGCTCAAGATCGTATGTAAACAAACTCACTGCCCGAGTGACCACTGGAGTAAATTGTTAAGTGGTTAATAGGTAAGTGAAACCTGTTTCTTTCATCCCATGTCAAAATAGTCTTGAGACCATGTCCCTTGGTTTAAATAAAGATAACTGTAGGCAGCTGTTTTGATCTTTAAATGCTGTGAGGGGAGAAAACTCGTGCCCTAAGGTTCTTATGCACCACTGGATTCCTGTTTTCTCACTGTGTGCCTTCCCTTTAAATGTACTCCCACTGGTCACAGGCACATTTTCAAGGATTGGCAGGCTGGGACTTTTTAGCAAGGAACTCCTACAATGTCAGCTGGCAAGCGACAAGGAAGTTCAGCTTTTGTCCTTCACAGCTGCCAAAGGCCAGGCAGGCCCTAAAATTTAAAAATAAAGGGCATTCTCTCCACGGAGCTGTTTATTAGTGTGGTTGTGAGTGTGTCAGCAACAGTCGCACTGTAACTTCGGTGGGATGACTCAGTGCTGGATTCCATACCCACTTGGTTGTGGTCCCTACTATTAGGTTAGGACCAGGAGTCATCATCAGTAGGCAGACAGGTATTATTCATCGCTTCAACAGTGTGTTCTGACCGGTCACTAGATGTGAGGCACAGGGCCTGGTGCTGGAGTGGTGAACATTGCAGACACAGATTTCTCCCTCGGAGCCCACAGTATATCTGGAGAGAGGGGCACAACAGTTAAACATGAAATGACTGAATAACTTACCCTGGGTTTAATGAACTTAGTGTCACTGGGACTTTGGGGAAGCAGGGCTGCTGGAGTGAGGGGATGGGACATAACTGGAGTAGACAGAAGAGTGGGAGGGGAAGAAAGGAAAGGCACTGAGCTCAGGCAACTCTTGAAAGATTGGACTGCATAATATAAGAGAAGTGAGGACTGAAATCAGGGACTGTTACAATGATTTATTCATCCTAGTTTATAGTTTTAATATTTCTTACGATGATGAGGAGGAGGCCAAGGAGAGAAAACAAAGAGACCAAGAAAAAGCAGCTGCTTTTGCTGCACCACTAAGAGAAACAGATCCCAGGTCTGATTCCCGGGGCTCCAAGAAGAACTCGACAACTGCATTCATCTGCTACCACTGTTAAAAGCCAGGCCACCTCAAGAGGAACTGCCCTAAGAGGCCCCATGGGCCATGCCCTGGATGCAAAGGAGACCACTGGAGATCGGTCTGCCCTCTGAGGTGGAGGCCCCAGAGCTTAGACCCATGCTACCAGTTAGTCCAACAGGAATGAGAGGGCTTGGGGCATGCTCTGCCTTCTCCCTCTGGCCAGACCGTCATCTCCATTGAGGAGCCCTGGGTAATCATGACTATGGAGGAACAAGAAAACAGCCTGTTGCTAGACACAGGTGCAAGTCTCTCGGTCCTTCTTTTCAATCCTGGCCTTCCTTCCAGCCATCATACCTCAGTGAAAGAAGTCACTGGTGAGGAGGTAATATGCTATTTTTGACAACCCTTAGGCTGTAACTACTTATTAGATCCTTCTTGCATATCTCTGTCTTCCTGAGAAACCACTTTGAAGATACCACCATGTATTACAGCAGCCATTGATATTTTCCTACTAATCTATCCATAACTGTGTAAAGTTTGTAATGTTCCTATCCTATTTCATAAATGGATGTATGTTTATTAAAAAAATATATATATATTTCTTACGATGGAATAAGTTGAGTGCATTTGATTGCAAAGAGGTAGGATCCCATGAGAAGAGGAAAATGGCCAGGTGTGGCGGCGCATGCCTATAATCCCAGCACCCGGAAGGCTGAGGCAGGAGGATCATTGCAAGTTCGAGACCAGCCTGGGCTACAAAGTGAGCACAGGCCAACCTGAACTGCATAGCAAGAGCCTGCCTCAAAAAGACAAAAAAAAAAAGAAAATGAAGGAACAGCTGGGAGAGGACAATGGACAATAAAGGTTCCTGTACCCAAGGGAGGGGGGGAACCAGATTATGAACTGAAGGTCTGGCCTCATGCAGGGGCCCCCCTTTCTATTGTAACATGAGAAAGGAGGTTGCAGGACTGACCCAAGCAGGTGTAGTGCTGGTAATTGAATCTTTCCACACAATGACTTCTTGCTCCGTGACCTAAGGAGCTGGTGATGGGGCAAGGACCAGTCTGAGGCTTGAAGAGAGTGGAGGAAGCCTGAGTCAGTCCCTGCAAAAGGCTGTGACAACCAGAGAAACAGCCACATAGCAAGGCAGCGTGACAGTGAGGTCGGGGACCCTCCTATGTGGTTTCCTCTAACAGCTTAGCTGCCCACTCTGGCAGCTGTGGTGAGGGAATTGCTAGCACAGTAGAATGAAGGAATTAAGAGCCTTAGCCAAAGTGAGGCTGGCGTGACGTGTGATCAGAGAGAAAGGACAGAAGTCAAAGGACCGGAGAAGTCAAAGGAATCAAGTCTTAGTCACATGCAAAGGAAAGGATGCTGGGTCAGACATTTGGGGGGTGAGGGAAGAGGCTCAGGAGGCGGCGTGTAGGCCCTCAGCAGAGGTAGGCTGTGACATGAGCAGAGTAGGAGAGACAGTCCCCGAGAATCTGAGGTCAGCGATTAAGGGCTGGGGTGTTAGGCGGTTCTCTGTGCGAGTGAAGCCATCCAGGACGTGGGTCGGGATCGGTGTTGTGCTGTGAAGGGAGAAAGAAGAGATGACATGGTCACAAGATGGGAAGCAGCAGGCAGGGGCAGAGAGAATATGTCTGGGCAGAGCCTCAAAGGAGGCAGAGAAGCGGTGATGGGGAGAGAATGCACCTCTGCCCTGGGCTCTCAGGGACACGGGGGAGAATTAGCTGCCCCCTCTCCCAGTGCTGCAGTGAAAACGAAGAAAGTAGGAATCTAGTTCTGAGCAGAGATTGATGGGGGACGGGTGACTGGATGGATGGATGGGTGGACAGACCCCTTCCATCTGGATAGATGGGTGGAAGGACAGACCCCTTGACTGATGAACCACCTGTTGATTGGGTTTGTGTGTTGAAGTCTGGAGTTCCAGAGGACCATGTGCAAGGATTTGAGGGGTAGCAGGTGGGCCGAGAAGGTAAGTCAGCCCCAGAAAGAACAGAACACTGGTGTGACAAAGGAACAGAGGATCTAGGAGAGAATGAAGACGAAAACAAACATGAGCGGCACGGTGGACCTCGCCTTGGTTGTCCCCTTAGGAAGCCTGACCGAGTAGCTCTGCGGAAGAGGGCCGCGTCACCTCACCTTGTTTTCTTTCCCGAGATTTCCATCAGGGTATGTAACATGTGAGAGCCTCTCACTCTCTGCCTTCTCTGCTCGGGGCTTTCTGGTCAGCAAGCCTGGAGGCCCTGTGTGGCCGGCGGTCAGGAATTCCAGGCTTACCCTACATCTGCTACTCAGCTCCTTCCTCGACAGCTTGTTGGCCTTAGTCTCTGTTTCGCTGTCTGAAGGCTGATGCTGGAGCACACCTACTCTCAGGGCTGTTACACAGGGCAGAGGGTATACATTAAACACGAGTACTTTCCACACTGTAAAACCTTGTGTGTATGTGTGCCGTTTCCTTTGTTTACAGCCCTGCTCCCACCCCTGTATACTCCTACCTCTCTCCCAGTAGCCCTCCGAAGAACACAGCCTGTGCTCCAGAGGAAGTTGTAATTTTGCCCCAGAGACAGGACAAATACATCCAAAACAATTAGAAAGGAATGCACAGCTGAGTCTGATTAAGTGCTAAATTGTACGGTGCAGACAATAAGAGATCTGAGGTCAGAAAAGGGAACAATTAGCCAGGGTTGGAAGGTCTGGGAGGCTTCCTGGAAGAACGAAGGTGGAAAGCACCCAGGCTTCTCTCTTCGCCTAAGAATATTTGCAAATACGCACATATTTTGTGGCTGCAGAGACTGTTGACCTGACAGTGACCTGGGTCTACAAAAGGGTTCTAGGTCCTGGGTTTCCCTTGCCAGCCCTGTGTCCCAGCCTTTCGCTGCTCCTGGAGCCCCGTCCGTCTGGGGTATGCAGCTGCTCCTCACAGGGTGACCTGCAGGATGGACTCACAGTGAATACATGTGCTTTGCCCTAGGCTTCTCACTTGGGTGTCTCATGTCCCCTGTTTTTCTGCTGGAGTCAGAGGCTGCCCTTCAGCAGGTTTCTGGACCCCTTCACTGCTACCACCCTTGTGGCATTTTGCTAGCCATGCTGCAGGCTTTTGAGCAATTTGACCTGGACGCCCTTCCTTCTTAGCTTTCAAGCTCTGTTGCCTCGCTGCACGTGGCCGGACTGCCTGCCCACAACGCCAAAGCCTGGGGCCACATCTGCCTTCTATGTTCTTTTACAGCCTCACTAGCCAGGAGCACCCAAAGACCCACGGTTCAGATCCAAGCCCACAGAGCAGACACCCCGGAGCTCAAGCATCTCCAAGCCCAGAGCTGGCTTCTACTTCCTGGCTTCTATTGGAACCAGCTTCTGCAACCCTTTGGAGATGCTTTAGAACGAGGGCCTCCTTCCTCGGGGCAAGCCTCACAGCCCTGTAGCCTGGTTGGTACCTCAGCCCTGCACCTCCCTTCTTTTTCAGCACAGGCCCAGAAGGGGTCCAAGCATGCCGAAGGGGGTGCACACAGATAGCAGCGGCAGGAAACCCAGCCATCTGTAAGCTGTGAACCTAGGCTATTTGAGATGGAGAACAATTTTTTGCTAATTTATTAATCAGTCACATGTGGGTCTGTGAAAACAAGCACTTCTGCCAATGGATAAAAGGTTAGTTATTGAGGGAAAGTATAGAATCTTGGCGCTCGAGTTCTTAGGATTCTAGTTGAAATCTCTTGAAACAAAAAGGGAGGAAAAGAAGGAAAGCTACTTGTGGGGCCTTCTTTGGGCAAACACCTAATGGTAGAGATAATATCTTGACTGTTGGACAATTAAGTCACAAGTTAATAATCACCTCGCTCCTAAGCCAGATGCTGTGCTTCCAAGGTTACTGTGACTTTGCAACAGCAGAAAAACATAAAGCCTCATTATCAGATGCAGATACTAGAAACAAATGTCATGATTCCTAGGGGACTCACTCCATAGCCCACAGTCCTGATGCTGGAAGAACTTAGAATTCCCAGATTAGTGAAGTCCAGCTTGCATATGGCATTGTAGTGGGGCATAAAGTCAGCCAGTGGAAGGGACACAAACAGCTGTCCCTGTTAGGGTCATCATATTGTTTTGTACATGGAACTCTCGGTTAAAGAGAAATGCAAAATCATACTCTAATTATCATCAAACTGCAAAATTACATTCAAGAGGAGAGGCCCGTAATTGCACCGCCAAGCATGAGACAGTGCTGTTAATACGATTATCCAGGCATAAGCCTATTAGAGAACTTAATGCCTCTTTGCTGGCATCATCCTTTGTAAAGCTTCCTATGGTCTAGAAACTTTCAATTGTAAACACAATTGTTATAAAACAGTGATTTCCAAGGGGCATTACAAAAATCTGCTGACCTTTACCAAAGGCCAACACTGCCTGGCTAAGAAGAAAGAGAACATTTCTGGAAAACAAGAACTGGTTGGCTTTTACTAAGGAAAGAAGTATTTCTGGCTCTGAGTCCCATGAAGCCATCCATGCAGCACTCTGGTTGTGGATATAATTGTGAGGTATAACCACCACCTGGAGAAGTGCCACTCATACACAGCCACCCAGGACTTGGCTGCTGCAGGTGAAAGATCATGTGAAAGTCTCTAAACCCAGGCTCAAATCCCACTCTGGGAAGAACCTGAATGAAGTCCTCTTGGGGATATTAATTCCTCTCAGAGTTCCCAGAGGCTGAGGCAGGAGCATTACCACAAATTTGAAGTCAGCCTGGGTATATAGTGAGTTCAAGGCCAGCCTGGACTACATAGTGAGACCTTGTTTCAAAAAAAAAAGAGTACCCAGGAAGAGGAAATAAGGTCATTTATAAAAAAAAAATTTTTAAAAATGAATAAAAAAGGTCATTTATAACCAAGTACCTGAGGGCTGGGGATATAGCTTAGTGGTATAGTGCCTGCCTGGCAACCGCAAGGTGCTGAGTTGGATTCCCAGTATAAAAAAAAAAAAAAAAAAAAAAAGACCAAGTGCCTGAGTGAGTGTATATGGTATGATTGAAAATTATGGGGGGCTGGGGATTTAGCTCAGCGGCACAGTGCCTGCCTGGCAAGCGCGAGGTCGTGAGTTCGATTCCTGGTACCAGAAAAAAAAAAAAAAGAAACCATTAAAAAAAAAAAGAAAATTATGGCGAATGCTTAAACTTTTTTAAATGTGTTGCAGTAAACACATTGCTATAATACCCATGAAAGTACTCCTTCCTTTAAAAACATTTATCCCATCATTCTTGCCACTTTTGAAGCAGCTCTGAAATCCTCTCATGAATGTCTTTAGTTGCACTGTCATAGCTATGTCAGGATCCACAATTGACTCAAAACCTTTCCCTTGCATGGTCATCCTGTCTTAGGGGAAGAGCCGGAAGTTGCATAACACCAGCTCTGGTGAATAATTCGGATGAGGACAGGCTGTTTTCACAAGCCTGGCTTTCTGTTGGATGACAGTTGGCAACAGCATTCACTATATTTTTTAACACCATATTTCGTACAGAGACAAAGAGGACTCTGAGAACTTCAGAGAGTGGCAAGAAAAAGGGGGTAAGTGTTCAAAGTGAGGGGGATTAATGACAATGTCTTTTTACTGTAATAAAATTTTAAAAATTTAAACATTCTCAGTAGTTTTCAATTAGCCCATGTTACCCTCCTTGGCCTTGGTCATGGGACCAAGTCCTCATGAGGATGGAGATCAGGTGGTATCTCAGATAGAATGCCAGGCAGGCTCGGTGTTCGTCCTGGGTCCACAGGAGTACTATTCTGTCCCTCCTGCAAGTGTTCTGGCTTTATCATCATCATGCAGAACCAAAACTCCAACTGCTTTCCCCTGGAAGTGTAGAAAATAGTTTCTTTAGTTAGTGTTGTAGTTACTTTTCTTGTTGTTGAGACAAAATACTGGACACCCAAAGTGAAAGGGGAAAGTTTATTTGGCTCACAGTTTGTGGAGGTTTCAGTTCATAACCAGCGGGCTCCAAGGCGGTGTGGTGTGGCAAATAGGCCTCACAAAGGAGAAACATTCACAGTGAGCAGAAGGTAGCAAAGCAATAAGGGAGAAAAGACAAGCAAGCCTCTTTCTGTCCCTTATATCGTATCCAGGCTACTAGGATTAGGGTGGTGCCAGCCGACCCAGTGTATTGATTTAGTAATCACCCACCCTTAATCTTAGCACCCTTAATCCTAGCATTGCCCACGAATCAATCACACACCCTAGATTCAGTTGCCTCTGAAAAAGCCCCACTGCATGAGGCTTTGGGGAGACATCTAGACACAAGCCAGTACAGTGAGCTTATGAGTAAGGCAGCTAGCTAGACGAAGGGCCTGAGACAGAGGGGGTGAACAGCCACATTGATACAAATTAAGAATAGGCAGTGAACTAGGACTTTGGGGAGTGCATTTCCTCAGGTAGTATGGTTGTTTTTTTGTTTTTTTGTTTTTTGTTTTTCTTCCAGTACCAGGAATCGAACTCACAACCTTGCGCTTGCCAGGCAGGCTCTGTGCTACTGAGCTAAATCCCCAGCCTCTCCTCAGGCAGTATGGGATGCAGCCCACTCTCTACTAAAGGGAGGTGCAGCTCCTTCGTACTAAGTTCCTGATTTTTTTAGCAAATTATAATGCAAATTAACCAGCTTCTTCTAAGATCCCAGATTCCTGTAAATCCTACATGTTTTTTTTTTTTTTTTTTTTTTTTTGTAAATCCTACATGTTTAAGAACTGGGGTAAAAGCCTGGGTTCCAGTTGGTCATTTTAAATCCACAGAGCCACCTGTGATAAATGACCATGAAACAACTGAGCAATTCCTATGCTCTGTTTAATGAATAATCAGCTCTAGATCAGGGGACCATGGGGCCACCCCATTTGGGATCAGTCCTGGAAATACAGGAGTTAACTCTTCTTCCATTTATTTCCAATAAAAACTGTCCTGGATTCCCCCATTGGTTCAAGACTTCATTCCTCGGTGTTTGCAGCGTCATGAGCCTGTGTACACACAGCAATGGAAGGAGGCATCTCCTTGGTCCTCAGGACTCAAGGACTCAGGAAATTCACATGGAACATTCATCCATCCACCAGCAAAGTCATCACCAGGAGGGGCAGAGCTTCCTCCTCAAGCAGGACAGCCAATACTCGGGAAATCAGAGAGCAGCGGTCAGTCTTCAAAGGGAAGCAGGGTATACAAACAGCACGAGTGAGTCACAAAGCACATGGAGCCAGAACAGTCATACACAAAGAGGTTCAGAACGGGTGAGACCGGCCATGGTGGCACACATGCCTGTGATCCCAGCACTGGGGAGGCTGAGGCAGGAAGGATTGCTTCAAGTTGAAGGCTAGCCTGGGCTAGGAAGTGAGTTCAAGTGCAGTCTCAACTATACAGTGAGACCTTGCCTTTAAAAAAAAACAAAAAAAAAGAACAAGTAAAAGCTAATTTATGGTGGAGAAATCGAAACACTAGTTGCTTCTGGGATAAGAAGATAATTGCCTGGAAAGAGGAATGAGAAAATGTTCTGGGGAAGGAAAATGTTCTCTCTCTCCAGTAGTGGTTATCTAGGAGCATACCACCGTCACAATTCATTCTATTGCTCTAGGCAGCTGAGTTAGACAGAAATAGTATAGGCAGTCAGACAGGGCCAGGCCCTCGAAGGAGCCAACAGGAAAGATACGAATTTGCTGTGGGCCAGACCTCAAGACAAAGGACTAAACAAATGCACCCACCTACCTCCCTAGGGATGGACATCCGGGATTGATACTCTAAATAGGTAGTGATCACCTGGAAGAGTCCTTGACCCAGCCCCTTAGAGGAAAAGCCCCGTTCTGTATTCATGCCCGCTTGCTATATGACTAGCTTCCCCATATGATCCCGATCTAATCATTTTACCTAAACAATTCTTATTGGCTGACCATAGTTCTGTCCATTTTCCCTACCTTGGACCCACCTCACCTCATGGTTTTGCTCCATAAAAGTCCCTAGAAAAGACAGAGTCTTGGGTAACCCACTCGGCTCCCACTCTGTCCCTCTCTTAGACAAAAGCTTTCTTTTCTTTCTCTCAATAAATATATTCTGCTCTTAACCTCCGTTGTTCCTAAAATTCATTCTCCGATTTTAGAGAACACGAACTCGTCCCGTATCATTCAGTTTGGGAGTTTTTATTTTCCTGTAACAGTACGGAATACTTCAGGTTTATGCTTTTTTTCCCACACAGAAAGAGAATCCTTTATTAGTTAACTGCTCATCCGGGCGTTTTATTGCAAATTATACCTCAAAAAAAGAAAAGGAAGCAGTAATCTTTGGGCAGAGTCGGGGGAAAGGGCTTTCCTGCCCGTCGGTCCCACTACCGTCTCAGGCGGTTTCCCTGGGCAATTACGTTTTTCAAATAAACCAGAGATAGGAAGGGGTGATCTTTGTTTTTTTTGTTTGTTTGTTTGTTTGTCTAAAAATCAACGTCCTAGTCTGGGCAAACGATTTCAGCTCAAGCCTTGTTCCTTACTTTTTGAAAGCCTTTACGTCACCATTCCCTGCCCTTCTCACCTAAGGTCATTCTTGAAAATGGTTCTTCAGAGTCAGCACTCCTTCACCCCAGCCGTGCACACACACAGTCGCCTAACATTGGCTTTATAAATACATAATACCCTTGTCCCTCTCTGAGACAGATTCCTCATCTCATTGGTTGGGATGGAGTCATATGACCCCTCCTAAGCCAATCACTGGCAAAAGCGAGTGATAATCACCCCGAATCTCTAAGGCCCATGTGGGCTCTCCTGGGTTGTCACATGAAGAGGGTATGGGCCCTGGACACACTCGGGGTTCTACTGGCCAAAATAAATGGAGCATTGCAGTAGAATTTTTCAGCTCTGAGACGGAGGCTGGCAAGTAGGACATTTGCGGGGAAGTATTTTCGGCATCAACACCTACAGGGAAGTGAAGTAAGCAGGAATTTACTGCTAAGAGAAAAGCTGAACTGCAATGCAATCCCAATAATGGCCTTAGCTGACCTCTCTGGAGGGCGCTGCGGTGCTGCAGTGTCTCAGAGTGTTTCCAA